GAAAAGAGAGGAAAAAAAGAAAAAGAAAAAAAAACTGGTGAACTTTATTTTCCCGGGAACCAAACAGGCTCCTTCTCCTTCCTTTCCTCTCTCTGATTCGACCAAAGATGTGCTTTTCCTCGTTGGCCTGTTTTGATCTTCTGTACTCTGTGATGAAAATGAAAAGAAATGAGAGAGACAGAGAGATTAAATAACAGCCGTCCAGATTCTAAGGCTCCTTTCTATTCGGATTTGAATCCGACGGTTATCAGAATCCGGATTGCTTTCGGCTTTGTTATGTCTCTTTTTATTTTTACTAGTTATTAACCCGCGCGCATCGCGCGGACTAAAAATACATATATTTTTTTCAAAATTAAATATTATATATTGTTTTGATTCTATATTTTATATTTTTAAATAAAATATACACTTCATTTTAAATACGAAGATAACTAAATGTTGTATTTTTTTCAAAGAGATAAATATGTTATGTGTTTAATTTTTATAAATTATAATATAGAATCAATGAATAAAATATAGAATATTAGAACAATATTCTCACAAATTTTATTACTTGACAAAATAGTTTTACTTTACGTGAATCCAAAGTATCTAAAAAAATATAATTATCGATAGCCTAATAAATATAATTTTAAACAATAATATAAATTTGGTTGATATTATAAATATAAAAATAATATATTTTGATTAATAAATATTTTTTAATAAAATATTAGCATAATATTAAACCTATGTAATGTCATCGGTAATCAAATTTGATGGATATTTATTTAATTTAATCAAATTAATGAATACAACACAAATACTATTAATATTTTATTTGTGAAGTCATTGTATTTTTTTAATACACTAAGATTTGGTTATTTTATACTTAACAAAAACATAACATTATGTCATATTTATATGTTATGTATATTTTATCAAAATAATAATGATTATAAAGTTCAGGTTTATTTTAGACTTCCTTGTGTTCGACCCTGGTACTACAGTTGATCCGTATCCTTGCGGTATTCGTTGTGTCTAGGTTTTTATCACTTGAGCATTATTTCTATATCTA